GTGCCACAATCATCAGGAGGTGTGATGCAGTCCCCAGGTGTGCCACATTCATCAGGAGATGTGATGCAGTCCCCAGGTGTGCCACAGTCATCAGGAGGTGTGATGCAGTCCCCAGAGGGTGTACCACAGTCACCAGGAGGTGTGATGCAGTCCCCAGAGGGTGTACCACAGTCACCAGATGTGATGCGGTCCCCAGAAGGTGTGCCACAGTCACCAGATGTGATGCGGTCCCCAGAGGGTGTGCTACCGTCAGTTGTAGATACACCACACTTACCAGGAGATGTGTCACACTCACCACAAGGGTTACTGGACTTAACAAGAGACAAGCCAAAGTCTTCCCCGGATGATGTGCAGAATCGTGACACTCCTATGGATATCTCAGCTCCATCCTCTCCAAGTTGCTCTGCCAGCCCACTGTCTCTACAGTCTGAATTTTCCTTAGAAAAAGTTCCTTGGCACCCTGTCACAGACAACTTAGCCAGAAAAGAGAAATCATTGCCACAATTTGCCAACCCTGGGTCTGCCCAGATACAAGGACAAATACCACAAGTTGGGGTATACAATAAACCTTGCCTGCATAGACTGAAATACTTCTTACGACCTCCAGTACATCATCTCTTCTTCCAGACATTAATACCAGATAAAGACACACGGGAGGTAAGCTAGTATACTCACTCCCTTGGGGATTATGTCTCCTCCCATAGACCCTTGATAAAGTTACTATGACTAGAGTCCACACATTAGAGAATGGGCCAAATAGAAATGTGTGTGTGTGTGTGTGTGTGTGTTTCTTTCTCTGTGTAGCAGTTCTGGCTGTCCTGGAACTTGTTTGTAGACTAGGTTAGCCTCGAACTCACTGAGATCTGCCTGCCTCTGCCCCCCAAGTGCTGGGATTAAGGCGTGTGCCACCACTCCCTAACTAGAAATGAAATTTTTTATCTTCCCCCACTTTAAAGTGGAGTTAGAGCTGTGTTCCAATCTCAACCCACTCTTTAAAACCCAGCACTGTGTACATCACTTTCCTTGTGAGCCTTAGCCTTCCTATCTGTAAAGCAGGGGTAAAAACACATCTCCTAGGGCCACTAAATGAGATGATGTGTGTAAAATACTTGTTAGTTTGATTCGTCGTTGCCCTTCATCAAATTCTTGTCTTCCATTCCTTTCCTCTTCTCTTCCTGATACCATACAGTACCCATATCACAGAGAAAAGACTCTTGTCACTTCCATGCCTCAAGTCACCCCTTGTATTTGGGAGTAGAAATTCAATTTTAAAACTTTAATGTGGATACCATTTCTCATATATCTTCATTGACCTATGGGAACTAAATTAGACATATATGGACAAATATGTTGTGACAGTCTCATAGCATGAAACCTTTTTGTTATCTAAAACCAAACCCTCAACTTTAAGGTATGTCTAAAGTACTCAGTAATGGTGCACGCCTTTAATCCCAGCACTCTGGAGGCAGAGGCAGGAGGATCTCTGAGCTCAAGGACAACCAGGGCTACACAGAGAAACCCTGCCTCAAGAAACAACAACAAAAACAAAAACTAAATCAAAAGGTAGGTAGGCTGGCAAAATGGTTCAGTAGATAAAGGCATTTGCACCAAGCCTGGCAACTTGTATCCTGTAGACTGAACCTACGTGGTAGAAGCAGAGAATTGACTCCTACACATTGTTCTCTGACCCCACATTTGCACTGTCGTGTACACTTGTGCTCATAGACATACACACAAATAGATAATAAATGAAATGTAAATTTTTAAAAGTCAACAAAGCAGGACTGGAAAATAGCTCAGTGGTTAATAGTGTCTACTGCTTTTCCAAAGGAACAAGGTTCAGTTCCCAGCACCCACATAGGGGGGGTGGATCAGAGCCTCCTGAACTTCAGCTCCAGGGTACTCACTTGCACAACTCCACACACAGACACACATGCATTCATAACAATAAAAATGAATGTGTTTAAAGTCACCCATTGTGCTATCAGACAACATTTATTATGGGTAATTCCGGTATTCCCTTCCCAATTGCCTTTTATACATAACCATTTTCCTTTTTTTGTTTAGTAATTGGTATTTTTTAAACATGTATTTGCTATTGATTTTGTTGTTTATAGAGGTAACAGTTCAAAACCATGCGTGGTGATATATGCTTGTAATGCTAGTGCTTGGGAGCTGGAGGCAGGCAAATCAGGAGTTCAAGGCCAGTGTCTGCTGCAAACATAGTATCAACCTAGGCTGTATGAGACCCTCTCAAGAGGAAAAGAGAAGGACTGGAAGGAAGGGAGCGGGAAGAACGTGGTATTCATTCTTCCAGCAACAAAACCTGCTCACGTCTGTTTTTTTCTTTTTCATGTATGAACGCTCTATCTGCAATACAACTTTATGCCAGAAGAGGGCATAAGATCCCACTATAGATGATTGTGAGTCACCATGTGGTTGCTGGGAATTGAACTCAGAACCTCTGGAAAAGCAACCAGTGCTCTTAACCGCTGAGCTCTCTCCAGCCCCACTCAAATCTTCTTATCTCTATTAAAGTATCTACTATACTTTTGTCACTGCCCCGTAATCCTAGCACTTGGAAGGTGGAGGCAGGAAAATTATGAACTTAAAACCCATCTCTGACTGTTCTTGTCATCTCTTGCTTTGATATTTGCCATTCTGTTACTTTTCTGTTGTTCTTGTTGTTTTTTTGAGACAGGGTTTCTCTGTGTAGCCCTGGCTGTCCTGGAACTCACTCTGTAGACCAGGCTAGCCTTGGGCTCAGAGATCCGAGTACCTCTGCCTCCCCAGCCTGAGATTAAAGGTGTGCCACACCACATCTAGCTTTCTGTTACATTTTAATATAGATGAAGTCATCTTGTATGAAGAATTTAGAATTCCTGTCTTTTAGCTTCCCTACATCCATCATTAAAAGATTTCTTTTTAAATAGAGTTTTCTTGTCTCTCTTTAGTACAATATTTGAAATGCATAGAAACCTTTGCTGTTCTCAATCTGTTGCAGAACCTCTTGCTTTCAGGAAGTATAGAACCTGTCCTGATGTCTGTCTATCTCTTTGTCTCTACAGAGCAAGGGTCAGAAATTAGAACCCATCCCTCATCGAAGACTAAGAATGGTGGCAAACACTATTGAAGAAAACTTTCCTTTGGGGACTGTGCAGTTTTTAATGGATTTTGTTTCACCCCAGCATTACCCACCCAGAGAAATTGTGGCTCACATCATCCAGAAAATCCTGCTCAGTGGCTCTGAGACTGTGGATGTCCTCAAGGAGGCCTACATGCTTCTCATGAAAATCCAACAGTATGAATCATTACCACTGGTTGACCAAGTCTTCTAGGAATATAGACTCAGGGCACAGCTTCTCCTGTCTAAGCATTATTCAGCTGACCTAGGGAAGTTTCTTAATAATGTTGATTGCAAGTGATAGGGAACCCAATCAAAACTGGCTTCAATTGCTGGTAAAAGAATTTAATGACTTGTTTTCACTAGAAACCTGGGAATAAGATATTATTTGACACTTTCATAAGAAGCTACTAGTACCTTCAACTCTGCCTTGGTTTTGGCTTTGGGGATCTATACTGTAGTCTTCAGCTTCAGATTTTTATAGCTCTTTAAGTTAGAAAATCAACTTCCGTAATTACACAACAATTCTGAAACTGAGTCCTATTATAATTGGCTTATCATGAAATATGAATCATTTTTTGAGACAGTCACAGTGAACCGAATGATAGAATATTGTAGTTAACACAATAAATCACAGCTTCATGCAGTCCCAGTATGTAAAGCTCAATAGCTATGAGCTGACCAGACTGACATGGTGTGGTACTGGGGTAGGTCAGCTGCTGAGGGTAAGAAGATGCTTAGTTGCCTGTCACCTTACAGACCCTATCCCTTCTGCCACTAAATTCTTTAGAATTCTGACTGATGTCACCTGATTTTCAGGTTGCATCCAGCCAATGCCAAGACAGTGGAATGGGACTGGAAACTGCTTACCTACGTCATGGAGGAAGAGGTAACATAAATCACAAAGATATATCTTTTGCAGAGGAATTTTTAAATTACATTTATTTGTGTGTAGGTGTGAGTATGGTTGTGTGTGAAAGTCAAAAAACAACTTCTAGGAGTTGGTTCTCTCCTTCCGTCCTGTGGGTCCTGGAGACTGAACTCATGTTGTCAGGCTTGGGACCAGGTGTCTTTACTGCCAAGCCATTATTTCCTGTAGACAGTCAGACTTGGGAGCAGTGCCTTTACCCCTGAGCCATTATTTCCTGTTGATAACCCTAATCTACAAAAAAATTACTGTTAAAAAAAAAATGTGGTTTCCCAACTCAGATATTAGTATATTGTGTCTTCTCTCCTTGAGATGAAACTGAAAATATTAGTAAAAGGGTTAGTGAAACAGCTCAGTGGCGGAGCAAGCACTTACCTGTCATGCATGAGATCCTGAATCCAATCCCCAAGGCTGCAAATTAGTAACTGTTACAGTGCTCGCAAATGCATAGCTTTGAAAACAAAGAGAGGGACAGTGCATGTGAATGAAGATTCGAGAGGGCTAAGGAAAACATCAGAGTGATGAGTAACAAAGCTGGGCAGAGACAGCCGTGAGTTAGAGAACGTGTGGAAGGGAAATCTTCACACTGGAGCCCAAAGAAGTCTTCCACTCAGAAATGCAAGCTACATACTGAGAGGGAAGAGTGAGTCCAGTGTGGATGGTGAGTGAGTGCCTGCTGAGAGTCATTACATGAAGCTGTTGACTGCTGCATTCTGGAACAAAAGCTACAGAGAAACCCTGTCTTGAAAAACCTAAAAAGCAACCGGAGAGATGGCTCAGGAGGCAGAGCGCCCGACTGCTCCACCCGAGGACCCAAGTTTGATTCCCGGCCCAGCCACATGTAGTTCCGTATACCGTCAGTCAGCGCCACCCGGCGGCCTGCAGAACGACCCGTAGATCCGCGTAGAGTAGTAGGCAAAAGAGAGAGAGAGAGAGAGAAACCTAAAAAGAAGCCTGGAAAGTAGTGGTGCACTCCTTTAATCCCAGCACTCAGGAGACAGAGGCAGGCAGATCTCTGTGAGTTCGAGGCCAACCTGGTCTACAAGAGCTAGTTCTAGGACAGGCTCTAAAGCAAGAAACCCTGTCTCGAAAAACCAAAAACAAGAAGAATTTAGAGCAAGGGCACCTGCCTTTTGGGAGACGGGGCAGGTGCTCTCTGAGTTAAAGGCCAGCCAGTGCTATTATACAGAGAAACCTTGTCTTGAAAAACGAATAAAATAAAAGATGGAAGGGTTTATTTATGGCATACAGTCTCAGAGGATAAGAGCCCATCACCATCATGACAAGGAGCATAGCACTGGAGCAACAGCTGAGAACTCTCATCTAGATCCACAAACAGAAAGCAAAGGAAAGCAAAGAACACACACCGGCACCAAAGGGGGCTTTTGAAGCCATAGGACCACCCACAGTGAGACACCTCCTTCAACAAGACCACACCTCGTAATCCTTCCAAACAGTTGCACTTACTGGGGACCAAGTGTCAAATATATGAACCTATGGAGACCAATCTCATTAAAACCACCACATTCCACTTCCTGGCCCATAATCTTGTGGCCATATCATAATGCAAAATGTCCAACTTCAAAAGCCCCATAGTCTTTCAGACTCAACACTGTTTAAGTCTAAAGTCTCTTATGAGACTCAAGGTAGTCTCTTAACTGTAACCCTATATAAACTCAAAACGCACATTATACACTTCCCTCTACAATGGCACAGAATACACATTACCATTCCAAAGGAGAGGAAATGGGGCAGGGGGAGGAAGTGTTGGACCACAGGGAAACACAGTAGAGCAAACTCCAAATCCTGTATCTCCATGTCTAATGTCAAAGGGCTAGATGACTCCACTCTTCTGGCTTTGCTGCCTACAACATACCTCTCTCTCTCTCTTTGTCTCTCTCTCTCTCTCTCGTGCTGGTCCTACTCCTTGTATGCAGTTCCCCTTGGGAGATGTCTAATGGCTCCGGCATCTCCAATATTTTGGGATCTTCAATGCTTTGTGCAATAACCTCTCAGGGCTTCTGTGCAGGGACTCTCTTGCCACATAGCTGCTCTCAGGAAGATTGCACAGCCCCGTTACTCTTGTACCATGCATGGCTGTAAAGCCAGAACTACATGGACAATACTGCCAAGCTTGGCTGCTTGCTTGGGATGGATTCTGGCCCCCTCGAATCATATTTGCAGCAGGTTTTGTTTGTTTGTTTGATTTTGGGTTTTTGTTTTGTTTTGTTTTTGGTTTGTCAGGACAGGGTTTCTCTATAGCTGTGGAACCTGTCCTGGAACGTGTTCTGTAGACCAGGCTGGCCTTGAACTCACAGAGACTCTGCCTCTGCCTCCCAAGTGCTGGGATTAAAGGCATGCACCACCACCTGGCTTCGCAGCAGTTTGTAGGAGCAGAAAATTCCTCCAGTCTTTTCCTTTCAGAAGCTGGAAGCTTAGTTGGGTGGGATCTTCCGTGAAGGTGTTCCTCCATTTACTCCAATGTCAGGCCTTCTTAATCTCCTCATATCTTTCAGCACAAAGCTAGCTCCAATATTTAAATTTCCTGGATGCTATTCTTGTCAAACTGTACATTTTATATTTCCTCCTGCTCCACTTTCTTTCCTCATTCTAGACTTGAGAGAGTGATTACTAATAGCCACAACACAGTGAATATTGGACTGTCTTCTTCCAAGGAAACTAATCTTCTAATACTTCACAATTTAGCCTCAGGCCAATTCCTAGAACAAAGTCAAAAAGCAACCATGTTCTTTGCCAAAATATTACAAAAACAGTTTCTAGCCCAATTGCAAATATTGTTCCCCTCCAAAACCTCTGAATGGGCCTCCAAAGTCCACACAGCTCTCTGTACTGTCTTCCAGGCTCCTACTAACTTGACCCATTAAACTCTTACAGCATTTAGTCACTTTTAGTTCAAAGCCCCAAAGCCACCCACATTCATCTAAAAACACTACGTATTCATAGCCAGTCAGAGTGGCGGAGGGGTCTCTTCCTACAACCAAAACCAGCAGAATGTGGATCCGCAGGAGGCAAGAAGGAAATTGGTTCAGCACGACTCCAGTGTTATTTCAAACATTGAGAGTCTGACACCTGGAAGTTTATTTTAGGCATATTTAAGCACACAGTTTGAGGAAAACTTTCCTGGTGATAATGAATTCAGTCGCATATGTACAACAAAGCTTAAGACATGACCACATCAAAACTCTTGTAAAGTAGAAGTGACTTGTGGTTCTAGAGGGTTAGAGTCCAGGATGACTGAGCAAAATCATGACAGCAGGAACATCTGATAGCTCACATCTTGATCTAAAAGCAGGAAGGGAACAGTGGGAGACTTGAAACCTCAGAGTCCACCCCAGTGACACACCTCTTCCAAGGCCACACTTTCTAATCCTTCCCAAACCACCACCAACAGGAGACCAAATATTCCAATGCCTGGGAATTATGGGAGACATCTTACTCAAACCATCAGACAACAAATAGACCACAAGACTTGTGAGAACTCCAGAGACCAGAGTAACTGCAGAGGGTGCTCCATCAATAGAGGGAGCAACTTTGTACTGTTGACCATGCTCAGGTGTTTACCCCTTTCTTTTTTTATTATTTATTTATTTTTATTTTATGTGCATTGGTGTGTATGTCTGTGTGAGGTGTCGGGTTCCCTAAAACTGGAGTTACAAACAGTTGTGAGCTGCCATGTGGGTGCTGGGAATTGGATCAGGGTCCTCTGGAAGAATAGTCAGTGCTCTTAGCTGCGAGACATCTCTCCAGCCCACCCCTTTCTTAATGAAACAAGCTACATCCAGAAAGAAACCACTCATTCCCCAGCTCCTTCTTAGAGACAGACTTGCCATACCCCAAGTGTGCCAGTTTGTCAGGGAGCTGCTCAAGAGATTAACTTTTGACCTGCCTGCATCAGAGCATGGGCAAAAACAATAGAATGTTTGAAAACAGGCCATAATGTCTGGTTGAAACTACCAATAGTGCCTACAGTTCAATAGACAGACACCAGGGGGAGCAAAAGAGGTCTGAGAATCAAGCCACATGGGAAAAATTAAGACAGTTAAAAGTACAGTACATAGCCAGGCAATGGTGGTGCACATCTTTAATCCCAGCACTCAGGGGGTAGAGGCAGGCAGATCTCTGTGAGTTTGAGGCCAGCCTGGTCTACAGAGCGAGTTCCAGGACAGCCAAGACTGTTACACAGAAAAACCCTGTCTTGAAACAAACCAAAACAAAAGTACATGAAGGCTAGCAAGATAGTTTAGTAGGTAAAATTGTGACATCCTGGGTTTGATCCCCAGAGCCTATGTTAGAAAACTCACTATGTTTTACAAATGTGTAATCCCAGCACTCCTACAGTGAGCGTAGTGAGTTGGAGACAGCATCCCCAAGAGATGGCAGGTTAGGTAGGGATGCTGGAATAAGCAGTAAAGCAGACAAACTAGAGGTAACCTGTTTCAGGCCAGGCGTGGTGGTGCACGCCTTTAATCCCAGCACTCAGGAGGCAGAGGCAGGTGGATTTCTGTGAGTTCGAGGCCAGCATAGTCTACAAAGAGTTCCAGGACAGCCAGGAGCACAGAGAAACCCTGTCTTGAAAAGCCAAAAAGAGAGAGAGCCTGTTTCAACAAAATGGAAGGAGAGATGGAATTCTTAAGTTATCCTCTGACCTTTAACTGCCACATGCAGATCATGACATGCTAAATATACATTTAAAAGCACGGTATAGGGACTGGAGAGTTGACTCATGTGGCTGCTTTTCCAAAAATCTAAAGTTCATTTCCCAGCAACCACACGGTGACTCACAACCATCTATAATGAGATCTTGTGTCCTCTTCTGCTCTGCAGGCATACGTGTAAAAGTATGATATATGAGTACCAGCATGATGGCTCAACAGGTAAAGAAACTAGGTGTCAAGCCTACCAGCCTGGATTTAATCCGCTGGACTCACATGGCAGAAGGA